AGCTGAATGCTGAGTATGTGAAGAGTCTTACACTGTACATAATTTTGCTCAGAACTAGCACCTATATGACAACATCCTATTTATTTTTTATTATTTTGACCTGTATATCACCCCATAGTGTTTGGAAGACTCTCTGAATGTTTTCAACATAATTATGCAAGGAACACTCCCCCCATAAGCTATGTACTCATTTTATCAAATTTTGAAAGATGGAAGGCTGAGTCAACCTTGAGGCAGTACTTGAACCATCAGGAATGAACTTAGGTTGTGACAGAGGCTTAACTGCAGTGTTGCAGTGTAACCACTGTGCTATGGGAGCTCCTTATATTTCTCTCATTCTATTACCCATGGGAAAAGGAGAGGGACATAATGAGCAGCTGGGGTTGTTTCTTTTAAAGTACGGTTCCTCTCCTTCAAATAAAGCATGGTCCCCTCTCCAGATAAATTGTGTGTGAGGGGAATATATATCTGTTTCATAAGAGACTCATGTGTTCCAGTGGCTTGCGTTATAGTTGTTTATATGTCTCTGTGTTTAATGAATTTGTAGGTGTAAGAGGGGGTTACCTGTTGGCTGCCTATATAGGGCTGGATGTCCCACCCCAATCAATGGATACTTATATGGGTAGACTTCGGTTCCTACTGAAGGGAAGTATAAACTGAAGGCTCAGCATTATTTGATTTTCATGGTGTGATTCAGACTGAAGAGTCACAACAGGTGGTAGTTTGGCTACGACTTTAAGAAGCTCAGGTCCTTGATTAGAGAAGAAGCTCAGGAAAGAACTTTAGCCAAGTCACTACCTTGCATTCCGTGCTGCCTTGGAGGCTGTTTTAAAAGAAACAGTAAACTTCTGGCCTTCAAGTGTTATTGGATTTTAGCCTTAGCTGGCACAGCCAATGGCAACAGATAAGGGAAGCTCCAATCCAAGAATAACAACAGGGGCAAACATTACCCACCCTTAGTTTATAAAAGTAAAATGAAGCTCACTGTCACTGCTCTTAACTCCTTTCAAAGAGCTAGATGCAAAATGAATTAAAAAGAATTATCTATAGTACATCTGTTGTACTAAGTCATTTGTAAGCGGTTCCCTGAGTGGATGCAAACTTGAATGTCATGAATCGTAACTTCGTAAGCTAGTATAATACAACAACCTCTGAGTTCGTTGTGTAGTTTCCATAAAATACAGAAGCAGTTCACCAAGTCTTGAGATGCCAGCTGAAGTCTCAGGTAATACAGTAGCTGTGCTTCTCCAGGCCACGAAAAAGGGAGACAAATTGCAAGGCTAGCAACACCAGAAGACAATTAGGTTTTTGTGGCTTTAAAACCTGGACACACCTCTTCACTCCTTTCCAACTGGCACAAGGGCTTATTTGTTTACCATGAAAGGGTGTGTGTACTGTATGTTCCTTAAAATGGCATGATGAGGCCAGATGTGCACACCTGTCAACATTCTCCTTGGTCCCTGGTCCTCTCTCTCTTTGAGGACTTGCTGGGTAGCCCAGTGTCAGAGGCTGGCAATTCATTTCCCCACTGCGCCTCCGTGAAAAGGGCCGGACTTGAAAATCCGTAGGGTCCCTTCCAGCTCTGCACTTTTAAGGTTATTATTATTATATCCTGGACTTCTTGCATGTAAGGCTGGGTATCTCCTGTCATTCAAGGCACGGAGTAGAGCATCAGTATTGTGAGTCACAAACTGTCATATTGCACAAGCCAAAGTGACAGCACTGCAAGGCCTGGAGGGAAAATTTCCCTGCCATCCTTTGCCTGCCCTGCACCTGCAACATCACAAATACTTTTATGATGACTAGGGTTGGTGCAAGTTGTTCTGCAAAATAAAGTGTTGGTATTTGTTTCTCCTATATCTCAAATTTACCATGTTCCGTTGAGTGAAGAACCTGTCACATGTTTTTTTCCTCATATTTTCTGAATTAAGGTGTGGGGGCTTATTTTCCAAAATAGAAAAACAAACTTCACTGCATTTCCCCCTCTTGGCTACACAAAGAATGACTCTTTTGGAAACCTGTTACTATCAGATCCCTTGGTAAGCCCAATAGTGAATCTGTACGCTATTATGTCTCATGACTGCAACAAGTAGAAATAACTTGAAGATCAATCCCCCCCCCTCCTTGCCTGTGTAACATGCTGTGTAATGTAACTTATTTTTGTAATACATTATGTGCTGAAGAGAACTGAATATCCTGAATGCTCACACACAACATTATGCCCTCTGGTTGGGTTAATATGCATATTACTGTAATATTGATTCTGATTTTTTTTTTCTTGAAGCCAGTATGCATTTTTTCTCACACTTTTTAAATCATTCTCACTGCCAAGGGTAGGTGTAAAATATATCTTTCCTCACAAATTTTTGCAACTGCTGCCAGAATTGCTTCTGTGATCACATTTTCCATTACACCGTGCACATTATTCAAAAGCTCTTTTCAAAAGAGTTGTTCCACAGGCAAAATTAGAGGGGGGAGAGGGTAGCCAATTCCCTTCATGTCATAGTGCCTTTTGCCCCCTTCTTGACACAAGTCTCCTAAATAGGAAGAAGAGGAGATTGCTAAGGAATAGGTCACAAATACTCACAGTATCTGCTCAATAGGTATGTGTGTGGGTTGCTGTTGTCTGTACCTGTTCTATTCCTAGTGGCCATCAGTAGCAGTTTGGTTCTCTTAAAATAAGTTTTGACGGAAGCATGTATTTTAAACCAACTAATCCCTAATAATGTTTGAACCGATGACTTAGTAGCTTGAAACAACAGACTTCTAATACACAAACTGGATTTTCCCTTTTGTGCTATGTAAGCCAGGATATTAAAACTATATAATTTTCCATGAGTGTGAAGGGCTTCCAAATGGCTTCATTCCTACTTGTGCTAATAATCAAAGACTTGAAATGCTATTATTGAGAGACAGACTTTCCACATCTTTGGGGAAGTACGTGTGTGGGAGATGCCAAGTTATGATTCTGGCATGAATTTTTATAACCGAGTAATATAACATATAGTTTTAATTTTGACAGCTATAATTCACAAATCAGTTTTCAGGGCCTTGCTTTGCCTTGTGGTTTTGATTATTTGCTGTTCAGTTTTTAAAGTGAAAAGGGTCCACTAGTCTGGGTACTTGACACTGGGAAGTTACTTTTTACAACTAATTACTTACGTATGGTACCCAGTGTGATAAAGTGGATAGAGTAATGGACTACGAGGATTCAGGAGCCCTGGGTTCAGTTCCCTGACTCTGCTGAGGAAATCACTCTCTCTCTTTTTTTTCTCTCTCTCTATCTGTGTGTTTGTCTATGTATGAATCAACATCATGCTTTATAGTTATGGGTTGTTGTTTTTTTGGGAGTCATAAGCGTTTTATAGTGATTTTGGACTATGGTGGGTGGGGGAATCAGGCATCCCTAACTCCAGTGTTGTTGAAGAAAGAAATTATTCATTTATTTTACCTGTTTATATGATGCTTTTCAGGACATAAGAAGGATACACATTTAGTTTTGTTCTAAATTGCTTTGTCCCCCCTCCCCCAATAACAAAATGGGTTAGGACAGGTTTGTAAATAGCCAGTTTCCTAAGTGTCTGTCATAATTACTCTCTTTGGTTTCTTTAGAGAAAATCAGAGAAAATAGTTTATTTTTAAACAGGAACAGAATCACTTCTGTTGTCCATTCAAATTAACAGGATATCTCACATGTAACTGCCTTCTCATATGCCAGTCTGTTGCTCCATCTAGTCTAGAACTGCCTGTCACTGATTGCAGGGGCCTTACAGAGTTCCATACAGAGGTCCGTCTCAGTCCTGTTCCCAAAGACGCCAGATAATCTTGAATCTTGGGCTTTCTGAAGGTGGTGATCCATCATTGAGCCACAGCCCTTCCCCCAAATGAAGAGCCGTGAAGCCAGGGCATTGACTAGATGGCCAACTTGATATCTGATTTCCAAAGGGTATGACTGGCAGCCTGTTCATGTTAGTTGAGCTTGCTAACTTGTGATTACCACAGACATGTCTGGGCATCTTTTAAATAAAGTAATTTTTACTAGCAATGTCCATGGACCTAGCTTGCAGAGCTGAAGTGGATGTTTGATAAATAACTGAAAGTAATACTTAAATGTTTGAATAGTAAGGATGGGACTTCTGAAATTAGAGCACTTCCACTCCCGTATGTTGGCCAGAACCTCCCAGGCAGAATTGTAGGAGTGAATGTCCTCAGACCAGAAGGAAAAAGAGAAGCTCACTCTACCTCCATGCTGTTCTCATGCTGTTATTTATTTGTGTGGTAAGAAAACTGTCGTGCTGCACTATGAGTGTCCCAAGGATCTCTGCAACATGCAAAGCTTCATGGGAGGGGTAGTTTCATTGGAACTGCTCTATGTGATAGATATCATGACTTGCTCTGCTATGGACTTTGTCAGTCACAGCGATCCTTGGGATAGCCGAAGTGCAGTAGGGCACTTACCTTACTGTTAGAAGAAGTAGTGGTGTGTGTGAGTGGCATGTAAGTAGAGAAGGCTGCTCTAACAGCTTCTGGTTTGAGAAGCTTCACTCCCATAATTCTGTCTGTGGAATTTTGGCCAAATTAAGAAAATACAAGTATTTGAAGTCCAAATACCTACCTCCTTCTATATCTTTGGTAAATCTGTTCAGCAGAATTATTACACAAATTAAGAAAATACAAGTACAAATTAAGAAAATACAAGTATTTGAAGTCCAAATACCTACCTCCTTCTATATCTTTGGTAAATCTGTTCAGCAGAATTATTACTAGTTACAAAATTTAAACCGTTCAAAATTCTTTGTCCTTTACTATGCCTTTAAACCAGCCCTTTTCTTTGAATGTTTGTAACTACAACTCCCAGAAGTACCAGCAAGCCTAGCCAAAGGTAAGGAATGGCATAAGATATAGTTGAAAACAATTGGAAGCTAATTAGGGGAGGTTGCTTTGAAGTATCAATTTTAGCTATGAAAAATTTAAGGGCTCTTTCTTTTTCCTTTCACTAGACAAACTGTTAGTTCTAACGGTCGCAACCAAGGAAACAGACGGCTTTCACAGATTCATCAAATCCGCAAAGCACTTCAACTATATAGTGAAGGTATTGTATTCTTGTTTTTCTCTTTCAGAAATATTGAACAATTTTCACTCTATACAAGCACATGTGTTTGTGTGGTCTATTCCTATGCTGTACTAAAATGAAACCATTATAGAATGAAATCATGGAAAATACCGCTTTGGTCATTTGCTGCATATGTTTGGCAATTCTGAATTATTCCATAGTGAAGATTTGATATAGGTTCTTTTCTACTCTAGCTCTTAATATTCCAGATGGTGGAGTCTAGCACATACTCAAGAGGGTATTCCACAGGCATGTAGATTTAAGTGGCAGAAAATAAAAATTAACTCATAGGCTGTGTAAACATATATCTTCCATTTTCCATTAAATTTCTCTTATACTGTATTTATTCCCTATTTTTGGCATCCAAAACCAATCTCTCTTTATTCTATGACTCCTGAAGAAAGTGCATCAATTTCCTGGCATTTAGAGCTTTCAATTTTTGGCCTTATCCCAATTTTTCCTGTACAAGTTAGCTGTTCATGAAATTGTGCTTGTTGATCTTCTTCTCAAGCATCACTCTTTTGCAAACCAAATATTTTCACATGGAAGTTGTGTGTGTGTGTGATACACAAACAGGATTCCTAACCCTGAAAAAGGCACTGTCTGCTTATCGGAAGACAGCTTGTGCATGTGTGAAACCTGTGAATGTTCCTTCATTTACAAAGCAGGAAAGATGAGAAGGGAATGAATCTTTGAATGTGAAGGTGATGAGATTTCAGTAGAGCATAAAGGAAAAAAAATCATTGGCCTGACACGTTTAAACACTCTTCCTTGGGAGAGTAGAGACTGCACTCATTCAAGAAACCCACTGAAATTCTTTCACAGTGCTCGAAATGGATGGCCTGATCCTAGAGCTTGGTGTGTGGAGATAATAGGCGCACTGCTGTTTCTGGTTTATTATACCCAAGTATCAGTTTTGTGAAAGAGGTTTATGTCTTGTAGTCAGAATGGAAAGAGGAAAAATAGTCAATAAAACAATGATCTCTTTCTGTTGGTTCTATTTTGCTGTCTGCTGGTAAATTTATTATTATTATTTCTTTTGTAATAAAATAAAACAATCTAACCAATTCAGGAAATAACTAGTTCAACCCAAACCCACCAACTGATCTGGCATGGTAATACTATGAAAATGCCTTAGCTGCTAAAGTATTAATGTTTATTCCACTGGAAGGAACAGAATATAAGCAAAGCAGAACCTCTTTCTGCAAGCTAGGCAAAAAGTACACTTACCAAAGTCCAACAAATCATGCACATTTCTTGAGTCCCTGTGTCATTTATGATTCAACAGACACCTTCCTTACAACAGCATGTTCTGTGTGAAGCAATTCAGCTGCTCTAAGGAAACTGGAAATCGCTACAGGATGTTGAACAGGAAAGCAGGCTGGCAAAGGCTGCTGAATAGAAAAATATATATAACCTGTGCCATAGGGAAATTTCCCCTTCTTGGATGCACATCTTAATGCCGTGAGAGAGTTTGATGTCAGAGAAGTTGAGTGAAATGCCATCAGGAGGCTAGACTCCATTGTGAGCCTGGATTCCTGGAAAAGTCACCCAAGGTGGAATGTTCACAGCTGACACACCAAACTAAGATGCATCCACTCTCTTCAGAATCTATGGCTGCATCAGCATAAGAGATATTCCCAGTGGCGATGGGGCGGAGAAACATCTGGAGGGTAGCTACTGGGCAACAGTGGTAGCTAAAGATGATTCCAGTGGATGATCTTTCAAAGCCAATGGCAGTGACACTCAAGCTAAGTTCCCTTAATGCTGTGCATAAGGAGGCAGTGGAAAACCAGTGTGGAAAACATGATTCACTGGGGAACCCCCCCCTCCAGTAATGCTGGGTGCAGCAGGAAAACAGGAAGACTAAATATGAGATAGATTGACTCCCTAAGAAAGCCAGAGGCTTAAATTTACATGAGGTTAGCAGGATTGTTGAGGACAGGACATTTGGGAGATCATTTATTCATATAGTCATAGGTTGGAGGCAACTTGGCAATACTGTATATAAAACAATATAGAGAAATTTAGGGTCCCCATTGGGATAGTTTAGGGCAATAGTTCCCAACCTTGGGTCCCCAGATGTTGTGGGACTAAACCTCCCAAAAGCTTTCACCACAAGCTGTGCTGGCCAGAATTTTCAGGGATTTTAGTCCAAGAACATCTGGGAATCCAAGTTTGGGAACAACTGGTCTAGGTGAAGGACTCTGAACATCAAGTTGGAGAGAAACTGAGCAATAGAGAAGGCACTGTCCCTTGCCCCCCCCCCAATCAGATTGGTAGTATTTCCAGGGATGGAAAGGGAACAAATATTTACAGATACCATTCAGGACTGTGCAGACATTCTTTATGCATGTTTGCTCAATACATGAAGAGCAGGTGTATTCTGGCCATGCTCTCCCAGTAATTTCCATTACATTGTACGTGTTGAAGGTGATCGTGTGTATGGAAAGCCTTTGCTATCTGTGAAGTGTTTTTACACTCTTTAGATTGCAGGATTCAGAATCAGTTAGTTCTTCCTTCACTGAAGCTATTACTTCATTGTTGCCCTTCTGAGTCTCAGTCTTCTTCTGATTTCTTGACTGCAGCCTCCAATTGGTTTGATGTTATTAAAGCAATTTAATGTGGGTTCTGAATCCCAGGGGAACTACTACATGTCTGGATGCATGTGTGAAAGTCTCTCCTGAGGATATTTGCACAATATCTGTGGATACCTATGGGGATGGGCAATTGAATAACATAACATCTGGCATGGGCTACTTGGTGCTGGCCTTGGTTCTGTTCAGGTAGAGAGTTCTCCCAGTTTTTGTATTGTCTGAATAGGGCTTGATTGTCTTCCTGAATTCTACTCCAGCTTTGATAAGGACAGAAGAAAATCCATGCTGGATCTGACCAGAGGCTTGGATAAGCCAAACGGTTACCTCTATAGTGATGAACCAAATTCAAATAAGAAGCATGAGTACAGTAGTGCTCTCTTTCTGGTAACATGATTAAGCTTTTGGAATGCAAACTCTTTCCCTGAGCAGTTTTGCTTGCTGAGGTCAAAGACTTCCGTATTCCTGGCAAGGGAATTTGTTGAAGGTTGGCCAATTTTTGATGTTGAATTTGATATACGTTTCTTGAAATCTGTGTTGTCACCCCAAGAACCTTCCACAAAAATAATAGCTATAGGTGGAAAGATAAAATAATAGCCTTAATCATGTCAGGCTGCTGTAATGTTGCCTGCCCACTATATTTTACTTATGCACGACACTTTTCCTCCAACATTACAATGTACATGTTGACATTTTTACTGTAAAATTATAAACCAGCACTTATCTTGTTTTAAGATCTGTAAAGTGCTTCTTTTCCCCTCTTCCTCAGATACATGGTGCTCTGAGTAACTTTGTGTGGTGGAAAGTAATTGCTGGGTTGTTGCTCATTTATGGGTTGTCTCATATTTCTAGAGTGATATCATTGTGCTCAGCGCTGCTTGGGATGTGGAAAATTTATGAGCAGTGAAATGCTCCCTTAATAAGTATTAACTCTTGCGGAGAAAATTATCTGAAGGTGTACAGAGCTTGGAAAAAGTTATTATTTTTAATTAGAGCTGATAGAATTCTCAAGCCAGCATGACCACTGGCAAGACATTTTTTTTCCCTTAAAAAAGTAATCTAAATTTTAGAAGAGCTATTTTAAAATCTAGATTTAAATTGTGTTGCTTTGTTTCAACTTTCTTTTATAAAGAAAAGGAGACACTCTCACCATATTTTCTTCGAGATGAGTTCCGCTAGTATTCATTCACCAGCTCCAAGCATGCATTTTTCCTATTGCTTCTTCCATTGGTTTTCTTCTTACTTCATAAAGAGGAGAATGACTTGATTTTTGTTCTTATGTGCTATCAAGTCACCTCTGACCCATGGGGACCCTATGAAGGAGTGATGGCCAAAATGTCCAGTCCTCGGCAGCCCTGCTCAGCTCTTGAAAATTTAAGACAGTGGCTTTCTTGATGGAGTCAATCTGTCTCATATTTGATCTTCTACTTCTTCTTCTTCTTCTTCAATATTTGTTTGTTTGTTTGTTTGTTTGTTTGTTTGTTTGTTTGTTTGTTTGTTTGTTTGTTTG